AGCCCTTGCGGGCGCCCCGGGTCCTGACAGAGGTGGGAACATGACTCACCAATGCTCTGTCGGACTGCGCAGGGCGGCTGGCACCGATTGCCTTACCTCGCCAGTCGATCCAGGGCTCGTGCTTCTCGAACCAGGGCATGCCCAAGATCCTATTGTAGGGATCCATGTCGAGAACAGTGAACTGTTCGAGGCTGTCAAAGTCTTCAAACTTGACAGCCAGATCCACTTAGACGTTGGGGACAGTGACGACCTTCCCGTCGGCCAGTCGCACTGACAACGTCCCGTTGCCCTTGCTTTCTCTCAAAGCATCGGACAACTTGTTGCTGTTACGAGCAACCGTCTGGCGGCGTGCGAAATTCTTCGACGCCCCAGGATCAATCAAGATTCTAAAGGGATGATCGTATCCCCGTACACATCCATGTACTACGAGCAATCCGCCGCTGCTCTACGCCGATTCGAGAGTGCGAAAACTCTCAGGGGCTAAGTTCCCGTGGTACGCGCCACCCGCGCACCCATCACGAAGACTTAGTTCTTCCCCAGTAGGGCACCCCGCTCCTACTGGCTCCCGGCGTTCCCCTGTCCGCGGGATCCTGGCTCCTGCCAGCGACCCTTGAGGACGGGCTTGGGGAAGGACCGTCTGCGGAGTCTCTCCGCGGGGCTGTCGCGCTTGAAGTGACCCATCTTCCCGCAGCCGAAGAAGCGGATATCACGCTATTCGGCGGACCCGAGTTCCATGGGAACTGGTCCGTTGGGGCTTGCTCGACCGGGGGCCGACAAGGAACCCCCAGGCCACGCTGAGGCCGGCGTACACGCCTGGCGATGGTTGTACTCTTCTTGAAGAACCACTTGAACGCCTCTTCAAGGGTGCTTGACTGCACCCGGAACAGCTGAGTGCGTGCGGGGCCCACTCGAAGGCCGTCCATGAACACAGCCATCTTGATGTGTTCGTTGAGTGGGTTTATCACTAGGGACGCCGTGAACTCCCGTATCTCTTGCACGTTCTCGTGCAGTTCACGCCTCCCTTGTTTACACGAGAGGAAGCGTGAACGCTGGCGGTACTCGAAGTTCGCCGGGAGGAACGCGGCTCGGAGCTGTTCACACAGCTGAGCCCAGGATGTGAAACATCCAGGGGATGTTGCTTCCCGTGTGTACACCCAACGCTTAGCACGGCCGCTAAGGTTGGAGAGTGCAAAAGCAACACGAAGTTGCTCGGTCGAGATCCGAGCCGCGTCCATCGCGAGCTCTACTTCTCGGACCCAGAAGTGAACGTTCTCGCCTTCCTTCCCTTCGTACTGCTTAACCTTCAGCTGTATTGGCTGCGGGTGAGGCGTTTTGCTTCCGCCGCCGGAGCCTGCAGGTTCTCCCGCACATGCGCGATGAGGCCCTGCTCGTACGCGTCGAACGCATTGACGCGCTTGATCTGCTCGGCCGATGTTGACACCACCAGGCTCTGCAGGGCCTCCATCCCGAAGATGCCTGCCATCTTCCAAACCGACTCGAACTGAGAGTCGTTCATATGGGAGAAGTCGCACCTATCGATGGCTACGAACTTCGGAGAGGTTCAGGTAGTCTACCCGCAGTGGCGTGGATTGACTACGAGTGCTACCAAGTGTGACGGGGTCACACAGCACCTTGCGCTAGAGGAAGTTATCTACCGAGAGTATACAAACTCTCAGTGAACGGCAGTTCACAGGTCCCCTCTTTATTCGAAAAGAGAGCGAAGTGACCTAATTAAGGTAGAATGT